GGGGAGGAGAGGCAGGTCTGGAGCCCCCCAGCCCCCCCTCCTCTGCGGTGGCCGCAGGGTGGCTGGACCAGGCAGGAGGTGCGTGTCGGGCCCAGGATGAGAGCCCCAGGCCAGGGAGGGGCAAAGGCTAGGCCTTAGGCCTGGGCCGGCCACTGGTCTAGGATTCGGTTCCTGCGGGAGGGATGAAGACTTGTCTTTAAGGATGACCACGTGCAGGAAAGGCCCATCAACTGGTCTCCCCCCTGACTCTGGGCTCCCAGCACCTCTCAAACCCCACCCACCCATTTTCACTGCCTAGCCTGGGTCCCTATTTCTTCTCTGAGGTCTCTCCTCCTTCTGTTCACCAGGACAGGAACTTAGCCAAAAACAGGCTGTGTCCTTTCCATCTGTGACAGGGTTTCCCTCCCTTCTGTGTAACCTGTCCTCAGGCTCATCGAACCATCATGGTCCCCAGCCTGACATGCTTTCTCACCCTCTTCCTTCACCCAGGGGACCCTCAGCCTCTCCATCCCACCTCAGCCTCCTCCGTCTTGGTTTCCTGGTCATGACTGCCTCCCTGTCCCCTCCCACCCCCCCACACTATCCCAACCATCCCAGCACCTTCCTTCCTAATCTTGAGAGGCATCTCATCTGGCTGAAATGGAGAATTCTGGGATCTAGGCCACAGTCCTTAGCAGACAGCCCCATCCTGGGGAGGAGGAGCGGGAAAGAGCCTGAAGAAGAACTGGGGGGTTGGCAAGGGCAATGGGAACAAGGTCAGTCCAGGAGGCCCTGAGTACAGAGGCTGTGGGGAGACTGGAGTTGAGAGGAAAGCAAAGGAACTAGAGCCAGGGCCAAAGGAAGAGGGGGGCTAGGGCAGCAGGAGGTGTTTGCTCACCGGTTGGGTGGGGTGTTAGGGGGCGGGGTTAGCAGCTGTCTTTCCTAAGATAGGGACTGATGGACCTGGTTATTCCTCTTGTCACAGGTGGAATGGCAGGAGATGGAAGAGGGAGAAAGACTGGGCAAGCAAAGGACTCAGGCAGACATAAGTGGGCTCAGCTGTCTGGGCGAATGGGCCCCCAGCAGAGGAGCACCTGAGCCCAGCACACACACCCTTCACTGCACAGTCCTTTCAAATTGTCCAGACCCTTTCCCCATAACACTGACCCCTGACAGAGTCATTCTCTGATATAGGCAATACCCATGTTCCCACTAAGAAAGGGGGTATAAGACACAACCCCCTGGGGGTTACAGGAGAGAAAAGCAGGAAAGCAAGAGCCTTATTGGATTTCAGCAACAGGTGTGGTATCCAGGGAAAAGAAATTTGGCCAGCCAGAAACTGAAAGCAAAAATGTCCTGCTAGATTCCTCCTGAAAAAAACCTGTTCCCGTCCCATCTCCTCTCCAGCCAGGTCCCAGATTGTCTATTTCCTAGGAAAAGACAGATCCTTCAGGTGGTGTGGGTGGGTGAAGGAGCTGGACTCCACTAATGGACCATGGTCCAGGCAGGGGCTCCAGGTCCAGCAAGGGTGGGAGGAGAAGGCGTCACTTCCGGGGGCCCTAGCCAGTGTCTTGTGGCTCCCTGCTCTCTGATTGGACAGAAGTGGCCCAGGCAGGCGTGTGACCCCACTGCTGGGAAGGGGCTATGCCCCAACGCCACATACTAACCTACCCATCTGCTCCCCAGAGTGCTGCCTGCTCTGCACCTGGGTCCTGGAGCCCTTCTCCACCTGGTGAGTGGCAAGCAGGGTTTGGAGTTAAGTGAGGGTAGGAAGGACAGGAAAGAGGAATTGGGCTCTCAGCTGGGGGAGGGGCAGGCAAACTGGAACCCACAGGCACTGACCTTTGTCAAGAAGCGTATGGCCTTCCCAGAATGGGAGGAGTAGGACAGAACAGGGGGTAGGGGGTGGGGTGCTGGGTTCTGAGGGACTGATCACAGACTTATGGAATACAGCACAGTCCTGGCTGGCACTAAGGAAAAGGGACATGGACTCAGGGGAAAAATGAGAAAGGAGGTATATTAGGGCTTAGGGAACACAGCACCAAGATGGACACAGCTCCAATCTTCATTCTTACCCAGTCACTCCTAGTTAGCTTAAGGCTCTGAATCCAGGGACTGGGAAGCTGGGTCAGGCAAGCAGGGGCACACGGAGAGGGTGATGGGAGGAGGGCTCATGCATGTTGACAGACCTACAGGAAATCCCAATATTGAATCAGGTGCAGGCCTCTTTGCACAACTTGTGAAAGAAGGAAGCCATGCGGGGGGTCCTGTGAAGGAACCGGAAGGGGTCTGAAGAGGGGGCAGGGTGGAAGGTGTGAGCTATGAGAGATATGGTGGGTGGCCAAGGCGAGGTACACTATGTAAGGTGGGCATCATTTCACTCAGTAGGTATCCATTCCTGGACAACTTGCCTCAGGAAGGAAGTCTCCAGAGTGTTAGCCTATCTCTTTGCCTTGGAAAACCCAGTATTTCAGAACTTGGAGTGCAAAGAAAAACTTTAAGATGCTTTATGTGTGGGGGTAAATAGGGAAAGAATGGGAAGTTAATTTCTCCCACACCACCTTCTCTTAATCTTTTAATTGCTGGCCTCTAATAGTCAGTTTTTTGTTATCTCTTGGGGTTTTCTTTAAATTTGTTTTGTGTGTTGTTTTTTTGCATAATTCCACTTCTCAACCCCACTCCCCAAGCTACTCCTCAATACATTGTACATGTTTGCTAGTTCCTCATCCTGTTTTCCCCGTCTCCTCTCCAGGATTGTGCCACAATACTTCCATTCTCTATCCCCATTTCAGGTTTTCTCCAACCAAACAACCAAGGTTGCTCAGAATTTGAGGCCAATTAAGATGTGTGTGTGTACATATCCTGTCCTGCTGCTCTCAGCAGGGGCAGGGGCACCAAACTCATATCAGATTCACTGAGAAACCCTGACAAAGAGGAGACACCATATGCTACAATCACAAGTAAACATGGGAGCACTCAGAGCTTTAGCAGTTCTAGGCTGGTCAGCATCGCAAGCCCGCCCAGCATCTGTTCCCCCAGCCAGACAGAGTCTCTTCCTTAAAACCTGAGTAAGTGTTCATTATTCCTGTCATTTGCAGGATAGATTCCAGACCCTCTTCCTCGGCCCACCTGTGCCGTGCCCCACCCCACTCTGCCCAGAAGTGCAAGAGCCCAAGCCGCCTCCATGGCCCCAGGAAGGATTCAGGGGAGAGGCCCCATACAGGGAGCCACTCCAACCAGACAGCCTGGCCAGAATGGAGCTGACTGGTAAGAACACTCTCGACAAACTGAGGGCCAAATCAGAACATGGTAGAAGGGGAAAGAGAAAGTAGATATGCTGCAGTGGGGGAGGGATGAGCCCAGTTTCCCAGGAATAAGGCATCTGAGTGGCAGATTCCTTAGATTTCAGGTCTGGGTCCTAAATGGGAATTCCTGGACCACCACCCTACAATGATTTCTCCCTTATCCACCCCTTTCAACCTCACCTCTCCTAATCTAAGAACTGCTCCTCGTGGCCATGCTTCTCCTAACTGCAAGACTAACTCGGTCCAGCCCAGCTCCTCCTGCCTGTGACCCCCGACTCTTAAATAAACTGCTACGCAACTCTCATGTCCTTCACGGCAAACTGGTGAGAATCCCCAAGCACTGTCCCTTCTATCCATTTAACTGGTAAGATACCCTCACTCCCTGATCCAATCACTATTCTTCCAGTATTGTCTTTGGTAAGACCACCACTTCCTGATCACCAATCCTTGACAAGGATTATGATTTGCAATCAAGCTCTCCTTTAAAAGATCTAGTCTGGATCTATTAATACTCATGGAAGCCCATCCTGGCCATTCAGTCACCATACCCCCTCAGTTTCAGCTCCCTTCTCTCTTCCTCCCCACCAATCTTTTTCAACAGAGCCAGTGCCCAGACATTAACCCTTTGTCCACACCTGTCGTGCTGCCTGCTGTAGACTTTAGCTTGGGAGAATGGAAAACCCAGATGGTAAGAAAGCCACCCCTTCCTTTGTTTTCACTAAATCCTGTATTCATCAGTTTCCTACTGCTTCCTGTGTGGATTCTTCAAAATTCCCGAGCTCCCTGAAAAAATCTCACCTTCAGCTTGGCCACTCTAACCCAATCTACATTCTACTATGATAATATCCTCTGGACAAGACGATGGCTTGCAGTTCCAGTATGTTAAATAGATTCAAAGCTGAACACAGTGAAAAGCTAGAGAGAGGTCTCTCCTAGGCCATGCCTTTAACTTATTCCAATTCAAGCTTCTTAAATTGGCATGAACCTGTCACCCACAGATGACACAAAGCTGGGAACCATGACAAAAATAATAAAAGACAGAATCAAGATTTCAAATCACTGAAAGTTGAGGTTCAAAACATGGTGAAATTTAACAGAGATATATAAAAACTTCTACATGTGTAAAATAATTGAATCAAGTCCTATTCTAGCTTTCAGGCCACCATGCCCCTGCTCCCCTCATATAAACTTCTGGCCCTAGGATTTACTATGAAAAACATCTAGGAGGGTTAAGTTGACCCCAGACTTCACATGTGACATTATTGAAGCAGCTATTTAAAAACCTAGTGATTCTAGGCAGCTTTAGGTGTTTAGCACCAATGTGGAAATATTCCTATAAAATTCTGAGTGGACTGCACTTAAAAATACTGGACTAAGTACTAGATGTCCTCCTCTATACACATGCAAATTTATTCAGAAGGACCTATTAAACTAGCATGTGTCCAGGAGGAAGAACCTGAACAGTAAGAGGTTAGAAAACATGTTATGTGAGGAATGGTTTTAAAAAAAATTTTTTTTAAACCTGTCTGATTAGCTTGGAGGAAGTGGTGGTCTTGTGGTATAGCACAAAGAGCTTTAGTCAGACTCAGGAAACGTCCTGGAAGGGAGCACTCCATAGTAAGTCAACCCTTCTACCCTCAAGATCCTTGGGATCCCATTCTTCCCTCAGATCTTCTAGGGGGACTGGGCTAGGGAAAGGCAATTCCTAGGGAGCCCTTGTAGTTCCAGCTCTGCCATGTATCAGTAAGCCTTTCCTTCCCTTCATCTTTATGCTCTTTATGATGGTTTCATCTCTACATTCGGTTTGAAAAGAATCACATGATCCTAAGATTTTGTAGCAGAAAGAGATCTGCAGCAGTAGAACCAAGAGGCAAAGCCATAAAAGGGCAAATTTCAGTATAATGGGGGGGGG